AATCCCCCTGTAGGGGAGCAGACCCGACGTGAGCCCAGTGGTGGGCCCCCGCAGCCGCTGCCTCCCGTCCCAGGTCTGGACGCGTCTGGGCCTCCAGGCTTTGGCGCCCTCCTTGGCGCGTACCTGTTCGCCTCTGCGTTGCCCTCCCGCCCGGCCACCTCAGTCCCTGTGATTCGAAGAAGAGAAAAAACGGCAGGGGCTTCCCCGCGTTCACCGCCTGGCTGATGGAGCCCGCGCAGTCTCTGAGCACCTCCAGCGGCACTTGCGAGCAGCCCGCCAGGAAGGGGAAGGCGTACAGTGGAAGCTCATGCTAAGAAACACCCTGCTTGCCTCCATGGTCCCCTGCGTTTCTTGGGTTTCGATGGTTTTGCTTCGGACAGCGTGACGCTCCCACACCAAAAAATCAATGGACGTCCTGGGGTCTCAGGGATGTGTTTCTTGCGGAAGGGTTCTTGTGGTCGAGCTCCTACGCGATGCTGGAGCTTGCGAGCGTACCTGCTCCTCAACCGAGATTTGCCACCAAGTCCAACGTTCTCGCCATCAAGCTTGTCGAGTTGGTCCCGAGTTTAGTTTCGACTACTCCGCCGCTTTCGTCTCGCAGCTCATGTGTTTCCTCGGCGCCTTGCCTGGGAGTCCCACCGGATTGCTGACTATGTCGTTTTCCTCTTCAAATGGCGTCGCCATGGAGCGCCGCACATTCCGCCAGACGCGTACTAATAAGCGGCTTCCCGTTCGGTTTCTTCCTTGTCCCGGTCATTGTGTTGTGGTTGGTCTTCAGGTGTTTTCACTTGGCGCTGCGGAGGGCCGTCATCCTGTACTTGGAGTTAGGTCGGGCCTGTCCCTCTACAGGAGGAAGATTGAAAAATAGTCCAAAAATAGTCTGGGGACGATTTTGTTTTAGTATTTGACCATTTAGGGCAAATTTTGGTGTATTTTTGTTCGTCCAAAATCCGCCTACAGCAGGACATGCCCGACCTAAACCTGGAGGCTCTTGTGGTCTTCACGTGTCTGGTGGTGGTGGTGCTCTTCGTATTGCACCTGCGGAGGCGGACCGTCTTCACGATCCTTGTGCTGCTGCTGGTCATCTGGAAGATGCAGAGACGCCTTGGCAGCTTATGGTATGCATCTTGGAGGGGCTGTCCGGGGGGGTGTCAAGGGATTTTCTGTTGATGCGATGTTCTTCCATTGAACATCGTAGGTTCCGAGCTTTGGTCCCCGCGGCATCCCTCGAAGGAGCAACAACGGCATAAACAGAGAGTTTTGGCGCTCTGCGTGGATTTCTTGGATCCGCGCGCTCTGCGCGCCAGGGAGGTGGTCCAGCGCAGATCCAAGAAATCTGCCCGGAGCTCCAGAAGTTTATGCGTATGCTGTTTTTTCTTCTTTTACACCCATCCCCACAAGCAAGCAGCATTGTGCTTGACCCGGGGGGTGGCCCTGCCGAGCAGGGTCGATGCACGCGTTGCGGCTTGCGCCTGTGTGCGACCACTGTGCAGTTCTTCATGTTCGTTTCTGTTTTTCACGCCGTGGTTGAGGTGTCTCGCACTGTGGTGGTAGCCGCGTTGTGGGAGTTTTTGTGGCCGTGCTCTCCTCCTCCTCCTGGGCCCGCCAGGGGCCACGGTCAACCCGCATAGGAAGGATGAGCGGTTTTCCAAGGTTACCACTGCAGCCTTCCCCTTCGGCCCATCCTGGGTCGCTTTCGCTGGCCGCGCCCCGCTCGCAAAGTATCGACAAGAGCCTTCCAAGGCCGTTGCACCCTTACCGCGCATCCTTCTCTTGCGGGTCACTTGGACCACCTCGACAGGGTGCGTTGAGAACCTTTTTTGCGGTCTGCACGCCCTGCTCCCAGAGGACAGTTCTGCCCGAGGCTGTCTCGACTTGACTCTGACACGTCGGGTTTTTATGCTCCGAGATCCCTGCTCCCGCCCCTGGAACGCCTCGGGCCTCGAGGAGGGCCCGCCGCGGCAGGCCTACAGGTAAGAGGCCGGGACGCGCGGTCCGCCTGCTCTCCAAGTGCAGGTCGTCCGGCGCCCAGCCGCCGCACGAGCCGCAGACGGCTCGCGCGCCCCTCTCCACTGCCCCTCCTCCGCGTGCCCCTTTTGGTGCCCATCCTTGGGGGGTCAAGACGTGCACGTCCCTCTCCAGGGGGGCAAATCCCCAGATAGTCCAAGCAATAGTCTCGAGGCGATCTTTCGACTATGGTTTGCCCATGTTTGAGCATTTGGGGGTTATTTTTTTAGTTTTCGTCCAAAGTCCTAAGTTGTGTCGTCCCACGTCCGAACGCCGCACGAGCCGCAGACGGCTCACGTGCCCCTCTTCGTGCCCATCCTTAGGGTCAAGTCGGGCATGTCCCTCTACAGGGGGGATATTCCTTAACAGTCTGGGGACGATTTGCCGATTATTTGTTCACTATGTTCGAGTCTGTGTTTGACTATGTTTGATTGTTCCGCCAAAATCCGCCTGCAGGGGGACACGCCCGACCTAACCTTACGGACGCGAAGGATGACATAACCACAACAACTCGGAGGTCCGCACGGGTTTCTCGGATCCGCGCTGGGGCCCCCTTGGCGGCGCCTTTCTGGCGCGGCCGTGGCGCGCGGAGCGCGTCAGGGAGGGGGGGGTCCAACGCCGATCCGAGAAATCCGCACGGACCTCCGAGTTGTTGTGTTTATGGCATTCTTCGTTCAAGTCGGGCCTGTCCCTCTACAGGATTCAGACATTTATTACAAACAATAGTCTGGGGACGATGTTTTGATTTTTTCGCTATTCTGGAGTATTTTCGTTGATTATTTTTTATCTCCAAGATCCGCCTGCAGGGGGACATGCCCGCTCCCCTACTCCTAGGTGGCCCGGGCGGGGCCCAGGCCAGAGTGGCCCGGGCGGGGCCCAGCCCAGAGTCGTTCGACGTTGAGCGATCGGACGCTGCGGAAAGGGCCGATCGTTCCAGGTTGAACGATCCCCGCTGACTCGGGAAGCGGCGCCGGGGTCGGCACGTCACAAGCTTGTCGTGCCCCCACTTCTTGCCCATCCTGGGCGGCCCTGGCGGGGCCCAGCCGCGGTGCCACTCCAGGACCGCTGCCGCCCGCTCCGGGCGCCGCCTCCGGTTCGCCGTGGGCTTACGTCGGGCATGTCCCTCTACAGGAGGAATATTCAAAAACAGTAGAAAAATAGTCTGGGGACGATTTTTCGACTATCTTTGACTTGCATATGTTTCGTTTATTTTTCATTTTTCATCCAACACCCCCCTGTAGGGGGACACGCCCGACCTAACCTTGCGGAAACGAAGAATGGCATATTCGGAGGTCCGCGCGGATTTCTCGGATCCGCGCTGGACCCCCCTCCCTGACGCGCTCCGCGCGCCAGGGCGGCGCCAGAAAGGCGCCGCCAAGGGGCCCCAGCGCGGATCCGAGAAACCCGTGCGGACCTCCGAGTTGTTGTGGTTATGTCATCCTTCGCGTCCGTAAGGTTAGGTCGGGCGTGTCCCCCTGCAGGCGGATTTTGGCGGAACAATCAAACATAGTCAAACACAGACTCGAACATAGTGAACAAATAATCGGCAAATCGTCCCCAGACTGTTAAGGAATATCCCCCCTGTAGAGGGACATGCCCGACTTGACCCTAAGGATGGGCACGAAGAGGGGCACGTGAGCCGTCTGCGGCTCGTGCGGCGTTCGGACGTGGGACGACACAACTTAGGACTTTGGACGAAAACTAAAAAAATAACCCCCAAATGCTCAAACATGGGCAAACCATAGTCGAAAGATCGCCTCGAGACTATTGCTTGGACTATCTGGGGATTTGCCCCCCTGGAGAGGGACATGCCCGACTTGACCCTAAGGATGGGCACGAAGAGGGGCACGTGAGCCGTCTGCGGCTCGTGCGGCGGTCGGACGTGGGACGACACCCTGTATTGAACTTAGGACTTCGGCCCCCCTGCAGGCGGATTTTGGAGCGTCGTGGGTTCGCCGTGGGTTCGCCTGCAGGCAGAAAGGTGGGCCCCCCGCGCCCTCCATACTATGGAGGGCGCGGTGGCGCCGGCCTGCAGGCGGCGCTCTCGCGCCGCTGCCGCGCGCCTTCGCTCCGCGGGAGGCGCGGTGCTCCTCGCCCGAGGGGCGCCTCCTCCTCCTCCTCCCTCCTCCTCCTGCCTCCTCCTCCTCCTCCTCCTCTCCTTCTCCTCCTCCTGCCTCCTCCTCCTCCTCCTCCTCCTCCTCCTCCTCCTCCTCCTGCCTCCTCCTCCTCCTCCTCCTCCCTCCTCCTCCTCCTCCGTCCCTCCCTCCCTCCCTCCTTCCCTCCTCCCTCCCTCCCCTCCCTCCCCTCCTCCCTCCCTCCCTCCTCCTCCTCCTCCTCCTCCTCCTCCCTCCTCCTCCTCCTCCTCCTCCTCCTCCTCCTCCTCATGCGGCAGTCTGACTGCCCCCAGGCTCCTCGGGCCAAAGCTGGGAGCCAAGATGGCCACGGAGCGACGACGACGAGGACGACGACAACGACGACGACGACGACGACGAGGACGACGAGGACGACGACGACGACGACGACGACGACGACGACGACGACGACGACGACGACGACGAGGACGAGGACGAGGACGGCGACGACGGGGAGGAGGAGGAGGAGGAGGAGGAGGAGGAGGAGGAGGAGGAGGAGGAGGAAGAGGAGGAGGAGGAGGAGGAGGAGGAGGCCCGGGGACCCACGGGGCCCGCCAGGAGGAGAGGCTGCAGCTCGCCGCGGAGTCCTCCTCCCTCAAGGTGCCCCCGTCGCTCCTCTCCGCCCGCGGGCACAGGCGGGTGCGCTCTCCTCGGAGAATCACTCATGATGGGCCTGTTCTCCACCACCACCATATGCTGGAGGAGGAGGACCCCCTCCCCCTCCTACTTCCGGTGGTGGTGGTGGAAAGCCGGCCCGTCAACTCATGGGCGGCAGAGATACGGTCGGACAGAGGTATAAGAGCTAGGTCGGTTCGGGGAGGGTACGCTAATGTTCATCGAGCTCGTTGAGTCCTCTTGTGCAGCCTGGGGGGGCACCCTTGGATGTACCATGTGTTTTGACACGCGCACACACACATACAGACTTGAAAACTCGGAGGTCCGCGCGGACCTCCGAGTTTTTTACGTCTATGTCATTGTTCGTTCCCCTCTGCTGACGCTACGCTTAAGTCAGGCATGTCCCTCTCTAGTACTCTTGAACTTCTTTTGCTCCTTTTGTTTTGAAATGCTGCTCCATTTTCGACGAAAATCCGCCTGTGGGGACATTGAGCTGGAGTCGGCGATACATCGCCGGAAGATCGGCGGAGGGCCCCCTCCACCGGGCGACCGCAGGCTCCCATCGTTGCCCCTCGCTCCCCCCCGTCCCCCCTCAGGATCCCCGGGCCCACGGCGGCGGCGGCGGCCGAGCCGGTAGAGCGGCGACGGGCCCTCGTCCCCCCCCCTCACCCCCTTGGGGATCCCCCAAGCTCGCCGAGCGCGTTCCACTGCTCGCAAAGTGCCCATTCGCCAACGTGTGAAAGCACCGGGCCTGCATCGATGCAGTGTATCGCAGATCTCCCATCATGGCGGATCCATGCCATTTGCGCGTAGTGACTTTGCGAGTAGGGGAACGCGCTCGTCTACAAGAGATTGGCAGGCTGGAGCCCCCAGGGTGTACGACGGACCCGGTGCCCCCGCGCGCGAGCGCTGGCAAGATTGTTGATTTGGTCCACGAGGCTCGGGGGGGGGAACAAAAACACAGAAACAAGTAATCCTCGACCTCCTGGAGAGCATGGGAACATGTGGGAAGTGTGTGTGGGGGGGGGGGGAAGACGAAGACCTAGAAGACGTGCTGGAAATGATGGGGGGTCCTGGGATCTGTGTGCATTTATCTCTGTGTGTCCCTGGGCCCCCCTCCGATCCGCGGCGGCCGAGGGCGGCCGAGGGCGGCCGGAGCCCGCAGTGCCCCGAGGAGTGGCGGCGGCCCGGCGCAGTCGGCCGGCACGGCACGGCCCCTTCGGCACGGCGTCGGCCCCGCCGCCGCCCGCGCCTGGCCGCTCGCCGCCGTCGTCGCAGGCCTTGGAGGGTGACACTAGGGGAGGAGGAGGAGGAGGAGGAGGAGGAGGAGGAGGAGGAGGAGGAGGAGGAGGAGGAGGAGGAGGCGGAGGAGGAGGAGGAGGAGGAGGAGGTGGAGGAGGAGGAGGAGGGGTAGGAGGAGGAGCAGGAGGAGGATTAAGTCGGGCCTGTCCCCCTACAGGGGGATTTTCGACGAAAAATATATAAATACCCCCAAAATTGTCTAAAAATACTCCAAAAATAGTCTGGGGACTATTTGTTTAGTATTTTTTGACTTGTTGGCGCATTTCTAAGGTATTTTTTTCCCGTCGAAAATCCCCCTGTAGGGGGACATCCGACTCTGTAGGGGGACACGTCCGACTTTAGAGGAGGAGGAGGAGAGGAGGAGGAGGAGGGAGGAGGAGGAGGAGGAGGAGGAGGAGGAGGGGTAGGAGGAGGAGCAGGAGGAGGATTAAGTCGGGCGAAAAATAAAAATACCCCCAAAATTGTCCCAAAATACTCCGAAAATAGTCTGGGGACTATTTGTTTAGTATTTTTTGACTTGTTGGCGCATTTCTAAGGTATTTTTTTCCCGTCGAAAATCCCTCTGTAGGGGGACACGTCCGACTTTAGAGGAGGAGGAGGAGGAGGAAGAGGAGGAGGAGGAGGAGGAGGAGGAGGAGGAGGAGAACGACGAGGAGGGGGGACCTCACCTCGGTCCGACCGTACGACGCGGTGCGCTCGGAGCCCTGCCACAAGACGCCGCCGGGACGCCTTGCCACTCCTCCACGCCGCCCCCCCCCCAAGATCGGCGGTGTGCCTCCACCGAGGGAAGGAGAGATCCCAGTCTCGGCGGTGGTGATTCTGGCTTCCGAGGTGGCCGAAGTATTACCATCAGCACCGAGAACAAGGATCACCTTCTCCCTGTGGAGGCAGCCCCCTGTGTTGGTGTTGGTGTCCCTTTCCAGGCCTCCAACGTCGCCGTCCGCTCGGCTGCAGTCGGACCAGGGTATAAGATCGAGGTCGGCTCGAGGAGGGTGCCCTATAGTGTTCTTCGCGTGTGTCTGGGGCCCCCTGGCGGCGCCTCCAGCGCCGCCCCTGGCGCGCTCCGCGCGGCAGGGATGGGGGTCCAGCGCCGATCCGAGAAATCCGCGCGGACCTCCCAGTTTTGTTGTTTATGTCATTGTTCGTTCCACTATGTCCATCCTGGGTGAAGGCACCCTCGAATGTTCTTGCTGTCCACGCAAGGGTGGCCACAGGCAAGCAAATCCAAGCGCGCAAGCAGCAGCCATCGCATCGCACTCAGCGGTGGGAGGAGGCTGGAGGACCCTCGCCTGCTCGCGCGCCCACTTGCCCAATCCCGCTGCTCCCGGGTCCCGCCCGCCTGCCCCAGCGGTGCCCAGGCGCAGCTCCAGGAGGACAAGGAGAGGCTCCGGAACGACTACCAGGACGAGGGGCCCCGCCTCTTCTGGCAGGTTCGTGCGGCGCTGGCGCGCCGGCCACGCCGCCGAAGGCGTTCAAGGTCGACTTCTGCCAACGGGGGACGCGGTGACGCCAGTGGACCATAGAATTCAGCCTCGAACGATCGGGGCCGCGATCGATTCAACGTAGAACGATCGACGCGGTGTCAAAACCTTTTGTGCGCGCCGACGCCGCACGAACCTACCGTACAGTCGGGAACATTCGGTTCGCGTATCGCGCCGCCGGCTCTGGCTCTGGGCCACCACGCTTCGGCGCGACACGTTATCCACGTCGCGTTCCCCAGGCGTCAGAGTCCCGAACTTTCCCGAGCCTCCCGCATTGCGGAGCGGAGCGACACGCAATCCGCTTGCAGGACATACGGCATAGCTTGTCGCCACGGCCGCCGCGGCAACACTCTGAGCAAACATTCTGGACCGTATTCGAGGCAGGTACGATCGTCAGATCGTCTTGCCCTTCCCTTTTGATCGGTTCCGCTATGCTAGCACAGCAGTATTTCAAGCAGTGCGAAGGCAGCTACACAGTGGACGAAGGAGCACGTCAAGCACATGGCATGGCGCAAAAGGTACTACCAGCGACCTTGACTTGTCTGAATACAACCACCTCCCGAACATGTGCCACGTCCAACCGTGGAACTCAGACATGCGCGCCCGCATTGCCCCCCAGACGATGGCAACAAAGGGCGCCTTGGTGATGCATGTCACAGAGTACCGCCCAGACCCGGACCATGCGCGTACGTAACTACGTACGCGGTGGATTGTGCAGAGCATGCGTCATTGACTACCATGCCAGACCGCGATTGCTCGTGCATCTGACCCGCCGAAATAAGAAAATGCACGTTTTTTTTTATCAGGTATTACTTTGACGGATTACCTCACGAACGAGTGCAGCAAATGAACCAAATTGATAAAGAGGCGGATGCAGCGTTACGAAGGCTGGCCCGCTACGAGGCCAAAGCAAAGGAACAATCGATCAGGAACCACCAAGTTGTACCCTCGCGTTTACCTGCCAGAACCTCCTGATCCACAGGAAGTGCAAGAGGAAGAGGATCCGGTGCGCACCGCGGATTTCAGCCCGAACTTCCTTCAACGCAAGATCAATTGCACCTTGCGCTTCGTCTTCGGCCGCCGACGCGACCGAAACAGACAGCGTTACATCGAGACCGACTCGGATTTCCCAGCGGCGAAAATCAGTAGTTTAGACGTTGCGAGCGACGCGCGCTGGGGTAATATATTACATGCAGAAGCTACGAGCAGTTGGAATGGACAAGTGAGAACTGGGCGAATAGTAAGCACCCGCGCGGGACCGGCATGCGAATCTTGGAGTGGAGCACTTTGGAAGAACATGCGACAATGACAGGATGGAGAGCCCAGGCCGCCACGAGACACCGACGTGCTTCGGGCATACACATGGACTCCCCCCAGCCCCCCAGGAGTATCTATTTGAAGCAATACTGCTCATCATTCCTGCAACGACGGAGCATCCGCCTACACTAGCATGGACAGCACGTTGCGCAACGACATGCCACACACATGCAAGGAAACCAACATGAGCATGTTCGACCAGTGCGCGTTTGGATGCAACACAGAAGCCGACCGCGCTACTATGCGTAAGCCTACCCAGGGTAGCCCACGCACTCGCGTAAGTGGAAAACCGAGGACGTCGCAACCACCGACAAGGACATCTCGCAGCCTTGGGTATCAATCGCATTGGCAGTTTCAACACCGCGCCGCTCAAGACCCCCCCCCTCAATTATGTTCATTCACAAGCAGATTGTACCAGGGCACCGAGGCGAAACGATTGCATCAGGGGCGCGCGCCTGAATCTGCGCACAAATATGAACACATATTTGATGGCAGCGCCGATGTACAACGCCAGAAGCAGCCGGACTTCGCCGGCCGCACAGCTGAAATACTTGCCGAATGTATTGCCGCTTGGTTTGCGCGATATTAGTGAGAAGAGCCAGGCCCCTGCAGCGGAAATTGCAGATGCCGACGCACGGCATTAGCCCGATGGCACGACTTGCCCCTAATAGGATATGCCCGCCAACATCGCTTGCATCACCCGCCGCACCTACCTACATGCGAAACATGTTTCTTGCCACGGGATGACGGGGCAGGCTCGGTCGTGCATCGTGCAAGTCAAATGCCATCGCATCTCCGCGGCCGCTCCTCTACCAACAGACATGCACTCTCGCGCAGACCCTTCGTGCAGAAGCACCGCGGGCCCTGCGCCGGGTGCAATGGCTGTCCTCGCGAAGTATCACGTTCCTGAGGTCGTCCACGGCTCCGCGAAGGACACGCGCCGCGCGGGGATGTGCATCAACGACGCAGATGCGATCTCGCACAAGGACGATGAGAAGATGGCGGGCGGCCACGAGAACTAGCGGCTTCGGGTCCTCGCCAGGGTGCGTTAGCAAGTGCGCGACCGCTACACTAAGCAGGCCAATATCTACTTTGAGATTGCCAACGTTAGCGAGGCCGTCAAGCACTGCATCAAGCGCACCTGAACAAGCGGTTGCGCTTCTACAAGGCCTCGGGAGACAACGCGAAGGATGCGTCCACGATAGACAGGCGCCCAGGCTCAACGCATGGCCTCGGAAACAAGCTGGCACCGCTGAAGCTGGAGTTCCTCGCGCCATATTCCTGGTGCATCTACGCGGCGGCCGAGAACTGCCCCAAATTCGCCCGCGCCGAACGCCACTTCGACCTGGCGGGGGAGATGGGAACTACATTGCGGTCCGTGCCCCTCGTTGAAAGCACATTAGGCGCAGGCCTGTTCAACGGCCAGCTGCGCATGAAGCTCTTCGGTTGCATGCGCGACTACTTACCGCGGCACCTTGACCAGGTAGTCAGCTGCAACTATTGCATGGAGTCGGTCACGGCCGGCACCCGCGCCGGGGTGCGCCGCGGGCCGCGCGGAGCGCCCAGCGGTGTGAACGGGCTCTACAACTGCATCCGCATTCGCAACGCGATGGGCAAGTGCGACAACCATTGGGGAAACATCGACGCGCAGATGGAGTTCGACCGCATGCGCCCCATGGGCACTGCCATCGGGAAGCACATTCCCATCGCCGGCCAGCGCGTGGAGGGCCGCGACCCGAAATGCGGCCAGGACACGCATTACCCGTTCGGCGGCGACGCGAAGCCCGAGGACGCCATCGACGGGGGCGGGGCCACCGGGGACTGCCAGTGCCAAGACGAGGACGACGACGCGGAGGTTGCCGGCGTGCCTGCCGCAGGCGCGCAGGAGCGCCAGCGCGCGCGGTAGTCCGCGCGCCCGTCGTTGGCCTTACCCTGCAAAAAAGCACGACCTCATCATCCTCCCCTCCTCGCCCCGTCTTAATGCCAGGCGTCATGTTGTGCAACGGCTGTTACTTGTTCGGATGCCGACCCCGCGGGGCAGCGGCCGCTCGCTTGCGTCGTCGCGCATAACTGGGCACGCGCGCGCACTGGGTGCCACAGGACAACGCCATTGCCAGCGTGCACACCGCAGGGGCGCACGGCATGAAACGCCTCGCGCTTCGCCGGGGCCCCCCAGGTCACTTGGGCCGGCGTTCGGCGCGGGAGGCCGCCGCGATCTCGAAACAATTGCGAGTGCCAGGGCGCCTGGGGTCCCCGGGGCGTCGGTCAGTTCCAGGGCGCGCGCCCGAACGCCCAAGAGAATGCCAGGCATCTGGGGTGCTTTGGGTTTCTTCGCCCGCCACTCTGGTTGTCCCCAGTGCGCCGCGCATCCACTTGCGGAGGCTCGTCGGTCCGATTCGGTCGCTGGCGCGCTCGGGGCTCCTGCCCGATGTGCTGAGAAAGTTCGCTGCATTGCGGGTGCAATGGGTTTCGTCGCCCCCCCGGCCTGAGTCGACTAGGCGCAAAGCGTTGCCCCCCAGAGGAGAAGTCGCCGCCTTCCCGTTCGCGCGAGGCCCGACGCTCGCTGCCTGCGTTTCTTGACGCCAAATTGCCCGACGTCAGCGGTCAAGAAACCACTCTGCCCAGAGCGCCCCGGGCCTCTTGGTTTGAAGCCGAAGTGCAAGAACTTCAACCCTGGACCGAGAAAACTTGGCGGACTTCAGGGTCGGACTTCTCGCGGTGGGTTTCCTGTTGATCGGCCCTCGCTGCGCGTCTTACATCCCCGAACGTCGCGTAGTAGCACGCCCGCTACCTATACGTGCACGCATACCGCGGGACAGCGTTTGCACGCTAACGCCCTCGAGCACAGCTGAACCTACCTGACGTTCTGCCTGCCGCAGAGGCGCGCTCAGCCAGCCGCCCTCCTGCGCGCTGCCCCACTTATACGGTTGCAGTCTCCTACAGTGGATTCGGCTCAAAGCTGCTTCGCACATGCTGCGCGCTCCGTGGACTGCGCGAACAGCAGACGCATAGATGATGCGCCATGAGAGTACCTACTTTCGGAGGCAGGCATATGGCCCCCAGAAATCCAGCGCCTCAGCCAGTGGATACAAGTTGTGGCAACGGCCAATTGCAGCAAATCAGATACAATATTCGGTGGTCCGGCGTCGAGGCGGCCCTGCGCCATTACACAGCAAACTGAACCGCATCTGAACGGCCAGACGCCCCGAGTACCCATGTGGAGTTACCATTGACGCACGAAATTATGGAGCGCGCTACGGACAATAACCACTTGCACTGCTCTGAGATGAAAGCTGGCCTTCTACCAGACATATGGTCCTGGCTGAAAGCAAGCCGTGCGATTCCGCGGCGAGGCTCGGCTACTGCCTGCTTTGGATGCCCGACAAGGACGACTACGCCAGCTTCGAGGTCGACAGGAGTACCCTTACAAGTGGGCATCTCAAGAACGTACCCGTTGCCAAATTATACGGGCAACGGTTCGACGTGTAACCAGCACGTGGGGATCTTGTACATGAGTTACAACTTCCACGGTACGGTTTTGGACGGCAGCACGAATTTCCACCACCAGCCCACGATCACAGGTGGCAGTAAGTGCTACGCGGACGCGCTGGACCTGCAAGGCAACCCAGTCACGCAAAACTACGCGAACAACCACGGCTTGCCTTCTGGGTCTGGGAACAACTGCAAGCGCACGCGACATATCCACGGCGGACATCATAAGCGTGAGCGCAGAGAGCCCGGCGACGACGATCACTACAGCAGACAACTTCGACCAACAGGTATTCGAAACGGATACAGGCTACCGGCAACTGGAGGAGCGTACGACGCGGTCAGTGCTACGCACAAGATGCGCCGTATACTACGCTACGCGCAAGGTGTGCCGTCCCCGGTACCTCACGTTTGATCTATTCAGTGACGCGGCCGTTCTCCTACCTCTTCCTCCCCTCTTTCGGTTGAGGAGATCAGGGATGCAGTGGCCTCGTTCCCTCCCCGCCCACCCCTGGAAAAGGCGGGTTCCCGCGCGGACGGTTTTGGAATCGCCCGACATCGTTGCGAGAGAAAGAGAGCGAGAGAGAGAGAGAGAGAGAGAGCAGGAGGAAGGAGGAGGACCTAGGTCATCCGCTCGTCGCGGTCTGGGCCAGAGCGGCTGCTGTCTTCCAGGGGGGGCTTCGCGAGGGCGCGAGGTCGCGAATACTGCCGCGCGCCACGCGTGACGGGGCGCGCGCTGCGCGAAGCTGGATGGTCTTGAGGAGGAACCTCGTGGACTCCCGGGCAAATCATAGGAGCCTCGCGTGTCTTGTGAATTTCGGTTTTTGAATGCGATATAGCGTTCTGTAGCGTCCATATATCGTCCGCGCAAATGGACAATGCGAGGTAATCGATTGGACGGGTGCGCCGATCAGCGTCGGCTTGTAAAAACTTGGAGGATGACACGGGAGGCAGAGTTGCCACAGAAACGCTGAGGAGGAGGAGGGCAGCCCCCACCTGCGCAGGAGTGGGTGGCCCTGGCGAGGCAGCAGGACCAGGCCACAATACAGGACCTGAAGCTGCGCTACGAGTCCTTGCAGCAGGCTCGAGCGCGTGCCCCGACAAGATATCCCGATCCGATGGACCTTTGACCTGCCATTTTGGATCCTGGATGTTTGCTGGGTTTTGGTCTGACATCCGAGCGCCATGCTGATGCACTCGTCTGGGGCACGATGCGTCCCCCCGGACCTCGGAAGGCCGACCCCGCGGATCGGATGTCTTGTTGGAGACCTGCGGGCAGCCCACCTTCGCCCCCTTCCGTTCCCTCGAGAAGGGTGCCTTCCGTGCCGCCCGTGGCCCACGTCGCGCGCCCGATGAGCAGGAGTCGCTTCGAAGTTGTCGACTCGAGTCGACCTCGATTGCGAGAGTTCAGATTTCGATTCGAGATCCCGATTAGATTCGACGCACAATTCCGACTTCGGTCTAGGTCTCTTCTCGCAGGCCTCGGCTCTGGCGCCGGGCGCCGATCTCGATGCCGTCCGATCTGCTTGCTGATGTCTGCCGTTTCGGCGCAATTCGAGCGCAGATTTAAGTCGGGCGTGTCCCTCCACAGGAGGAAGATTCCAAAATAGACAAAACATAGTCTGGGGACTATGTTTTGACTATTTTTAAGCATTGTTCTAGCATTTCTTAACTATTTTTCTTTTTTCGTCTAAAATCCGCCTGTAGGGGGACACGCCTGACTTAAGCGCAGATTCGACATTCTGATTCGATCTTGGGTCGTCGTGGTGAAGGAGGTCTATCAACACCGGCCATTCGAAGGCCGCGCGGGCGTCTGGAGCAAAAAGCCGGTGCCTCTGGCCCGCTGTCGCGGAGGTAGTAGAGTGAGGAGGAGGAGGAGGTGGAGGAAGAGGAGGAGTAGGAGGAGGAGGAGAAAAAGCAGGAGGAAGAGGAGGAGGAGGAGGAGGAGGAGGGGGGTAAGAAGGAGGGGGAGGGGGCGGGGGAAGAGGAGGGGAGGAGGAGGTGAGGAGGAGGAGGAGGAGGGAGGAGGAGGAGGAGAAGAGGAGGAGGAGGAGGAGGAGGACGGGGAGGGGGCTGGGGAGGAGGAGGAGGAGGAGGAGGAGGAGGAGGAGGAGGAGGAGGAGAAGGAGGGGGAGAACCAGGGTCAACCCGGTTCTCATCAACGGTGTTGCAATAAGCTGTCCCTCCGAGTTTTTCTTTCACATGGCCCTTCAATGTTTTTTTGCATTACGGGTAACGCCCCTGTTGGAAGATATTGTAGTGAGAACCACGTCTTGAAAACCATCGACGATATATCGGTGAATTTGCTTTATAAGTTTGAAGCGATTGTGCGCGGCTTGAAGGCGAGAGCCACATTTTGAAAAACGTCCCGCCCTCGTCCTTGAAGTTGCTGCACATTGTTTTAACGAATGTGCGCGGCGCTAAGGCGAGAGCCGCATTTTCAAAACCTCCCGCCCTCCGTCTATGAAATTGCTGCAAATTTCAAGCTTCAAGACCAGCAGTGGTGAGAAAGCCTCAGGCGAAACGCCCGGCCCGCCCGACCATCACGTCAGGGGGTGCGACAGGGAGGAGTTATTCACAATGAAAAAGGATGGAGCGGGAGGAGGAGGAGGGGAGGAGGAGGAGGAGGAGGAGGAGGAGGAGGAGGAGGATAGGAGGAGGAGGCAACAGCAGAAGGAGGAGGAGGAGGACGGAGGACGGAGGACGGAGGAGATGGAGCAGGAGCAGGAGCAGGAGCAGGATCAGGACAAGGAGCAGGAACACGAGCAAGAACAGGAGGAGAAAAGGAGGAAGAGGAGGAGGAGGAGCAGGAGCAGGACCAGGACCAGGAGCAGGAGGAAGAGGAGGAGGAGGAGGAGGAGGAGGAGGAGGAGGAGGAGCAGGAGAAGGAGCAGGAGGAGAGGAGGAGGAGGAGGAGGAGGAGGAGGAGCAGCAGGAGAAGGAGGAGGAAGAGCAGGAGCAGGAGCAGGAGCAGGAGCAGGAGCAGGAGCAGCAAAAGGAGCAGAAACAGGAGCAGGAGCAGGAGCAGAAGGAGGAAGAGGAGGTTGAGGAGGAGCAGGAGCAGAAGGAGGAGCAGGAGTTGGAGCAGGAGAAGGAGGAGGAGGAGGAGGAGGAGGAGGAGGAGGCGGCTAACACACTATCTTTGTCACCGTCCCCCTCGCCGACCTCATCGGTGGTGCATCGACGATTCGGCGCGATCCTCCGACCCCATCTCTTCTGGCCCCATCTGAGCGACGCAGAAAAACGGGGTCGTGTGTGCCGACATTGGCGCGTAAACTGCCCGCGTAAGGTCGCACGTGACCGCCCTCGTTCCCAATCTAGTGCTTCTCGCTCGCCATCCCGCGTAAGGCGCGGCGTAAGGTCGCTACGCGACCTCGCGTCGGTCCCGTCTCTTTTCGTCGCCCAGTCGGGAGGCCTCTCCGAGCTCCTCTGGGCCTGGCGCCCGCCGAGAGGCGGCCACGTCGCAGGAGCGCGAGGCGATGCGGCAGATGCGGGCGGCGGAGGGGGCGCACGTGGCCAGGGCGGACGCGCCCGGGGCCCAGGGGGGGGGTAGAGGAAAAAGAACTATGCACATGCACCGATTCTGGCCAGGCCCATCCTGAGCCCAGGATCGGTGCATACGCCCTCCTACCTTGGCCAGGAAGGCGTATGCACCGATCCTGGGTCAAGGATCGGCCTGGCCAGTTCTCCTCGCCCGAGGGGGGGCGGCCCGCCGGAGCTCGGGTGCGGTCGCTGCCAGGGGTCGGCGCCCGGCCCCTCGCGCCTTCTCGACCCCCGCTGCTGCTCGAGCGTCGGGATCGGGGAGAGCACTCACACAGGCGCAGTGGATCGTCGACCCCGAGGAAAGTGTGGGGGAATATATATATATATATATATATATATATAAGAAGTGGGGGGGGAGGGAGGACGAAAGCCCCGAAAACGCGGGAAACTGTGGGAGATCCTGGGATCCGTGCCCATGCATTTGTGTGTCCCAGGGCCCCCTGAGAGCGCGCCGCTGCCGCTCCGCCTGCCCCAGCTCCTCGGCTCTCGCACAGCTCCTCCTCCCTGTCGTCCTCAGGGGCAGCGGGAGGGGGGACGGGTTCAAGGAGGGGCCGGGCATCGATCCCCAGTCACCCCCCATGCACCGCCGACACACAGGGGCCCGAGAGCTCGCCCAGCTCACCCCGCAGGGCCGTGCGGACTCGCTATCCCAGGTCGATCTTTCCCCCCCTGTTGCCGGCTCCCCCCTATCGTTGGCCCTCAGCTTCCTTCGGCGACACGCGAGAGTCTGACCTTTCCCTGGAGTGACCTTTGGTGCGGGTCCAATAAGGCCCCCCGATCGCTGAAAGCGACGTAATAGCAGCGGCTTGCGGGCCTGGTGGTAGGCCCCCCCCCCTTGGCCGCGCACTCAAGGTCATTCTTGCCTAAGGTTGCTACTCTTGCGTGTACAGTCGACCCGCATGGTAAGGATGGGCAACCTTCCCAAGGGTGCCCTTGCATCCTTGCGTCCTCGGTCCATCCTTGACCACGGTCCCTGGCCGCGCCCCGCTCGAGAAGCTTCGAACCGGCCTGCCAAGGCCCTTGCATCCTAGTCGTGCACCCTTACACCCTGCTTGCTGCTTGCCTCCAGGGTGCCCCGGGATGCTTGGGTCTCCATGCTCTTGCCATGGAAAGCGTGACGCTCCCACACCACAAATCGAGGGACGCCCTGGGGTCTCGGGGTTGGAGGAGGAGGAGGAGGAGGAGGAGGAGGAGGAGGAGGGAGGAGGAGGAGGAGGTTCTTGTGGAAGGTTTCCTGTGGTCGGGCCCCTGCTGTCTTCGTGCACCTGCCCGGTGCGTCGAGGTGTCGCCCGGTGCGCCTGCGGGCGCCGCGCGGGCGCCTCGCGGGCGTCTCGTGCGTGGGCTGGGCCGGGCTGCCTCGCTGCTTCCACCACATCTCTCAGGAGGGGAAAAAACATGCAGACACAATTAGGCGTCGGCTTTCACAAAAAAATATGGGGAAATAGGGGAAGTGGGGGGGAAGACAAAAACCCGGAAAATATGGGAAAGTATGGGGATCCTGTTATTTGTGTGCATTTATTCCCAACCCTCCTTGGTTGCGTATTCGTTTTTGCGTATTCGTTTTGAATAGGGCAGTGTGGTCTCCACTCCTTCCTCCTCCTCCCTCCCCCTCCTTCATTTCCTTCCTTTTGACCTTCTTTTCTCGCCTGACCTCCGCTCGCTTCCTTACTACTCTCCTCCTCGGTTCCTCCTTTCGCCTCCTCCCTCTTCCTTTCCTCCTACTCCTCTCTTCTCATTCGCTTTTCCCTGACTCCCTCCTCCCTGCACTCTTCCTTTCTTGCCTGCGGGGGGCTGCGATCTGCGAGACTGTCGCCGTTTTCGAGGCCTGCTGGGGGGCCCAGCACAGTGAGGGCCACGCGCGGATTCAAATTAGACCTCGCCATCCCTGGGGGGCTGCGATCTGCGAAACTGTCGCCATTTTCGAGGCCTGCTGGGGGGCCCAGCCCAGTGAGGGCCACGCGCAGATTCAAATTAGACCTCGCCATCCCTGGGGGGCTGCGATCTGCGAAACTGTCGCCATTTTCGAGGCCTGCTGGGGGGCCCAGCACAGTGAGGGCCAGGGGCGGACCCAAATTAGACCTCGCCATCCCTGGGGGGCTGCGATCTGCGAAACTGTCGCCATTTTCGAGGCCTGCTGGGGGGCCCAGCACAGTGAGGGCCACGCGCAGATTCAAATTAGACCTCGCCATCCCTGGGGGGTTTCGAGGCCGCTGGGGGGCCCAGCCAGGTGAGTCCACGGGCAGATGCAAATGATACCTCGCCATCCCTGGGGGGCTGCGATCTGTGAAACTGTCGCCACTTTCGAGGCCTGCTGGGGGGCCCAGCGGAGTGAGGGCGACGCGGATTCAGATTAGACCTCGCCATCCCTGGGGGGCTGCGATCTGTGAAACTGTCGCCATTTTCGAGGCCTGCTGGGGGGCCCAGCACAGTGAGGGCGACGCGCGGATTCAAATTAGACCTCGCCATCCCTGGGGGGCTGCGATCTGTGAAACTGCCGCCATTTTCGAGGCCTGCTGGGGGGCCCAGCACAGTGAGGGCCACGGCAGATTCAAATTAGACCTCGCCATCCCTGGGGGGGCTGCGATCTGTGAAACTGTCGCCATTTTCGAGGCCTGCTGGGGGGCCCAGCACAGTGAGGGCCACGCGCGGATTCAAATTAGACCTCGCCATCCCTGGGGGGCTGCGATCTGTGAAACTGTCGCCATTTTCGAGGCCTGCTGGGGGGCCAGCACAGTGAGGGCCACGCGCGGATTCAAATTAGACCTCGCCATCCCTGGGGGGGTGCGATCTGTGAAACTGTCGCCATTTTCGAGGCCTGCTGGGGGGCCCAGCACAGTGAGGGCCACGGGCAGACTGAGACCTCGCCATCCCTGGGGGGCTGCGATCTGTGAAACTGTCGCCATTTTCGAGGCCTGCTGGGGGGCCCAGCACAGTGAGGGCCACGCGCGGATTCAAATTAGACCTCGCCATCTCTGGGGGGGCTGCGATCTGTGAAACTGTCGCCACTTTCGAGGCCTGCTGGGGGGCCCTGCACAGTTACGCCACGGGCATATTCAACCGAGACCTCGCCATCCCTTGGGGGCTGCGATCTGTGAAACTGTCGCCACTTTCGAGGCCTGCTGGGAGGCCCAGCGCAGTGACGCCACGGGCAGATTCAAATGAGACCTCGCCATCCCCTGGAGGCTGCGATCTGTGAAACTGTCGCCACTTTCGAGGCCTGCTGGGGGCCCAGCACAGTGATGCCACGCGCGGACTCAATTTGGACCTCGCCATCCCTGGGGGGCTGCGATCTGTGAAACTGCCGCCATTTTCGACGCCTGCTGTGGTCCCCGTTTTCGAAGTGGCTAGGAGTGCTCAGGAATTGTAACTCATCAGCTTTATCAAGCCCTTTTCCTGTAGCCAGTGTCCTGCGAGTCTCCCGAATTCCGTCTGCAGACATATGTGACCCTCGCTCCGTCATCGCCCCCTTCTAAAGTATCCTAATCTATTTGCGCCCCGCTTTTGCGCAGGGGTTGGGTACGTCGCCAGGATATTTGTGTGTCCTTGGGCCCCTTGAATCTCTTGCGCCACACTTCGGCGGCGGGCGTGGGGTCGAGTCGGGCCTGTATGATGCGGGTCGACGGAAGCCCGAGTCCCGCCTGCCCTCGCTGTCGTGGTCCGTCCCCCGTGATCCGAAGAAGGGTAAACCACAGAAACACAAACTTTTGGCGCTCCGCGCGGAGTTCTTGGATCCGCGCCTAGGCCCCCCCGGCGGCGCCTCCGGCGCCGCCCCTGGCGCGCTCTGCGCGCCAGGGCCGCCAGGGAGGGCCTGGGGTCCCCAAACGGGGTGGTGACCACAGCGTGTGGTGAGTCACCGCACGGTTTTAGGAACGCTCTGAGAAAGCCGCGACGCCCGAGACGCCCTCCAGAACGGCCGGATCTCAGAGATTCCCGATCTATCTTCACGCGATTTGATCCTCGTCTTGACTTTGCCTTGAGTGGGCGCAAAGACTCGGGCCGAACGAAAGGGGGGATAGGGAAAGGGGGGGCTTACGAAATCTGCTGCATACAGCTGGTTTCCGCCCCGCCGCCGGTCCCATTCCTCGATACATGGGCACCTCCCGGCGCCCGGGAGGCGCTGGGGAAATCAGTTTCGTGAGCTGATTCTCTACCCTACCCTCTGCTATCCCCCCTTTCGTTCCCCCCGAAAGACTGATCGCACGTCCTGTTCATTTTCGACAGGGCTCGCTGTCGGTGTCGCCGCAGACGTTGTCCGTCCGAGAGGTCTGCCCAAACAGCGACCGCTGCCGTTCCTGAACAACCACTGCTGTCGGGAATCTTGCCGATTTTTTCCGTACCGCCTTCGGGCGTCCAAACACATAGGATTCCAAGATGTCAGCATTCGGCGAGCCAGGTAATTTTCGAGTAGGGGATCGACTACGCGATCGATTTACTTAGAAACTGGTGATGCGTCGAATATGTGTGAAACAGGTGCAGAACTGCGATATGTCTACGAAGATTGTCAGCGTTTCTGGCAGATTCAACGAACTGATCAATGCTGGGGCAAACCAATTCTGTAGTCGCCCCTCCTCCCCCTCCTCCTCCGCGCAGCCCTCCATCCGCCTCCTCCTGAGCTAGTGGACAGCCCAGCTGCGCGCGCCGCAGATCTGAACGGCTGCGCGCCATGCCCCATTCAGCACGCTGGGGCAAGGCGGAGGAGCGGGCCACCAGCTCGGCTCGCGAGCCACGCCGAGCGGCGCAGGCTGCCGCGCCGCGGGCGCTGAGCGCCGGCGGCTGAGTGCACGCGGGCGGGGGCGCGGGACGGCCGCGCGCCGCTCGCCGCACGCGGGCGCGGGACGCGCCCGATTCAGGTGGGGGGGCGCCACGGGCGCCCCCCCCACCTCAAAAGACGTCCCAAGAGACGTCCCTCCCCCTCTCCCTCCTCCTCCTCCCTCCTCCCTCCTCCTCGTCCTCTGCTCCTCCTCCTCCTCCTCCTCCTCCCCTCCTCCTCCTCCCTCCTCCTCCTCCTCTCCTCCTCCTCCTCCTCCTCCCACCTATTCCTCCCCCCCTCCTCCCCCCACCTCTTCCTCCCACCTCTTCCTCCACCCTCCTCCTCCTCCTTCTCCTCCTCCTCCTCCTCCTCCTCCCCCTCCCCCCCCCTGCTCGAAGTGTATTTTTTCTTTTCTTGTTTTCCTCCTGTGCGGGGTCGCGGCGCGCGCCTGCCGGCCCCGACGGAACAGGGGGCATGCCCTATGTTGGGCAGGTCCCTCAACAGGGAGAATATGCCCAAATAGTCAAAACATGGAGGAGGAGGAGGAGGAGGAGGAGGAGGAGGAGGAGGAGGAGTCTGGGGACGATGCTTCGGTTCTCTTCGGGCTATTTTGCGCAGTTGTGGGGCATTTGTTCTCTTCGTTCAACATCCGCCTGTGGGGGGACATGCCCGACCTCAGGCATGTCCCTCTACAGGGGGAATATTCCCAGGTAGTCACAACATAGTCTGGGGACGATGTTTCGATTATGTTTGGGCTATTTTGGTGCCTTTGTGGGGTATTTGTTTTTTCGTTCAACATCCGCCTGTAGGGGGACAGAGGGCATGCCTTAAATTGGGCAAAACCCATGACAGGGGGAATATTCCCAAATCGTCAAAACATAGTCTGGGGACGATGTTTCGATTCTGTTGGGGCTATTTGGGCGCAGTTGTGTGGCATTTGCTATTTGTCGTTCCACAACCGCCTGTAGGGGGACATGCACGACCTCAGGCGTGCCGCGACGATGCCCCTCGCAGCCCTTTCCGGTTTGGACCGGACCGGCCAAAGAGCGCTCGACAGTGGAGATTCGGCGGCGGCCAAGAGGGGGGTGGTGTCTACGGAGGGTGGTATCATGGCGTGGGCGATCATATTTCCTCAGATTACATGGCACCTCTTCTTACTTCATCACGTCCCTGACCCCCCCCCCTGGGCCGCGCACGTGCCGCCGGCCATGATTTGCGCCCCACCCTCTTGGACACCCCTCTTTTGGCCGACCCCGACAGATCGCTCGGTCCTTGCTTCGGGTGTTGCTCGAAGCCAGAAGTGCCCCTGGCCCAGGGTGCCCTCAGGAGTTCCAGGGAGGCCCCCACGGCCCCCGAGAGCCCCTCACGAGGCCTAGAGGGACCCAGGGGCTTTAGAATGGAGTAAAAAACTGAGGGCACCTTGGGCCAAGGGCATCTTTAGCAACCCCCGAAGATCGCTCGATCCTTGCTGGGGCGGTTGATCCCCAGTCCCCACAGGGATCTGGCATCCCACACAGAGGCATGGCCGAAATATGTTTGTGGGGCCACTAGTTGCGTGTCCCCTCATCCACCAGTTTCTTCACGGCCGCTGGCATGAGCAACGTGTTTGTGCACACCACTCTTTTGTATGGTGTGTACAGGTGGCCTGTAGCTTTCTCTCGTACTTCAGACTGCGGGAATGTAGCTTCTTTTCGACTAGTTATTGGATAACGTTTTCTTTCAGTTGTACCCGTGCTCCTGATATTGTTGTTCTGTAGATTCCACATGTTGATGCTGGTTCTCCTCATCATCGCGCTCCTCATGTTATCATCCTTTGTGTTGCATTCCTCCGTTCTGCCGTTTTTATTGTTGATTCCTGTCCATTCGGAGGGCGATCGCGATGAGGGCGAATTTCAGTCTAGTGGCGATGCGACGGGTACTCGAGTCTGACGGTGATCGTGATGTTTGCGTGATCATTTGCCAGCGCAAGAGGCGTTCTAGGCTGTGCCAAAGGATGAAAGGGGACGAAGAGAATGAGGAGGACATGGACGAAGAGGAGAAGGAGAATATGAGGGAAAATGAGGAGGAGGAGGAGGAGGAGGAGAAGAGGTACGGAGAGGAACAAGAAGGGAGGAGGACGGAGGAGGAGGAAGGCGACGACCAACGATGGACGATGGATTTCTCCTCCTGGTTTCCTCCCCTCGCCGTCTTCCTCCCCCGTTCCTCCTCCCCTCTCCCTCTTCTTCCTCGCCCCTTCGCCTCTCCCCCTTGCCCGGGGAGGCGGCCAGCAGCAGAGTGCCCGGCGCCCCCCCCACAGGGCCCCGGAGGGGGCCCCCCGCGGTCGGCCTGAGGCTCGAGGCCTCCTACGGCGAGAAGATCAGGCCAGCCGCCCCTGGCCCCGCCCGCTCCGCCATGCATGCGCTTCCTCACCCAATCCGACGCAGAGGTTCACCACGGAAAGGGGTCCATCACCAACGTTGCGAGACGCTGCTAGGGGTTGGATCGCTTGTCAAGCTATTGTTGATGTCTTCCAGATCTACCGAAGGACAGACATCGAGGGTGAAAAGTTGAGACCCGTTCGGGGTAGCCACCCTCCGTGGTATCTCACGCCCCTCTCAAGCCTCTCCGCATTCGCCCTGGATTCTCACATTCCCTGCAAGACGGCCCAAGAGGCGCCAAGAGGGGCCCGAGACAACCCGAAGAGTTCTCGACGATTCCATATACGCTATGAGGGTACCCCTCGCGTTACAAGATAGCCGCAGGGGCCAGCCCTTTGGATTGTTCATTCTTTTCAGGCCCAGTGAGGATCTCACGATGGAGTCGTCGTGGGGTTAGGCTTCGAAGGACCGTTGCCGTGCACACCGTTGCCCCAGGAGGCCCTACCTAAGACAACCTCAGAGGCACCCAAGACGGTCCCAAGGAGACCCCTGGAGAACCCTCAGGAGCCCCAAGTTCCCAGGACGACCTGACGATGCGCCAGTAGACCTTCAAATCGGGCCAAACAGACCAAGATAGCGGGTTATTTGTGAAGTGGTTTTCGAACGCCCCGCTACGCTCGTTGGGAACAGTTTCGGAACAGTCGACGTGATTGGCTATGTCATTGTATAGTGCGGGCCTGTATAGCATTGGTTATTGATTATTGTTTCTGCCGGGATCGTCCGTTGCGAATGCGCTAGGCTAGGTCCACGCGCGCGCAAAGCGCGGGCGTGTTTTCAACCATATGTCTGCGCTTGATGTGCGCTTGGGCGACATGCATCGATGTCAAACGTGACGCTGTACTGGCGATTCAAGTTGGCGCGCCTGACGAGGTCCACCGTTGCCGAGTTTTATGCAGAACGACGCCTTCTCCGTTTTCGACCTCGCTCGCATTCCCCGTCCCCCAGTTTCCCCCCTGTGCACCCCGCACTCGTCTTCATGCCCCCTTCCAGCCGCGAGGCAAGAAGCTGACAGCTACCTGGACTTGAACGAGGAGGGACGGGTGAGTACAGTCGGACCGAGGTGTAAGATCGCGGTCGGTTCATGGAGGGTACCCTAATGTTCTTCGGGTTTGTTGGATATTCTCGCGCACCTAAGGGTGTTCTATGTGTTTTGGCCGGCGGAAGGTCTCATGTTCTTGAGGGATGTTCTTCTGGCCTAGGTCCGACTGTATGGGTCAGCGCCACAACTCACGCACGCAGGTCATCTGACAGCAGATCATCTGACACTTCACGGACGCCAAGACAAGTGTACAGCGGAAGAGGAACTCCAGGGGTGCGCGGAGCGTGCGAAGAGAATCCACACGTCAGGGCCGCCGAAGATGTTGGTGTGCGTAACGTGTCTTGCGAGTTGGGACTCAACAGCTCCGACGTTCGCTGCCGCAGACCATCCCACGAATTTCCCGAGAGTGTCATAATTACGTTCGTCAGGGCAGGTCGGCGGTGTGCCGCGCGTGCTCGAAGGCCAGGAAGGCACCAGGGATGGTTACTCCGAGTTTCTTAATAAGCGTTGGGGAGGGGGGGCGTCACCCCCGCCGACAGCCCCACATCGACCCCGGTCGCGGGCAGCCACCGCGCGCCGAAGGCGCTCCGACCCCCGTCGCAGAGCGACGGCGAGGCGAGGTGGACCCCCGTCCGGGGGGTGTAGTACCCCCCACGCTCGTTGAGAAGCCCACGGTGGGAGGCGGAGCGTCGCGGGGGATCAAACCCGCAGCCGGGCAGCGGGCAGCGGCGTGCACCAGCGGGCCCGAAATGGGTACTGAAAGAATGGGTACTATGCCCAACAGCGGATCTTGTTCATTTTGAACAGGACTCGCTGTCCACGCCGCCGCGGCCTGTGTCCATTCGAGACAGGAGGTCGCCCGCCCAACAGCGGCCGCTGTTGCTTCGGGACAACATTTGTTGTTGGGCATGCTGCCCATTCTTTCGGTACCCATTTCGGGTGTCCAAAGAGGTGCGGCGTCCTGCGGGCCCGCGCGTGGCCCCCCCCCCTCGGCTCCGTCGGAGGGGCGGCTGCCGCAGGGTCCGCTCCCCCGCCGGCGCGGCAGATCGGCGGAGGGGGTGCTTCGGTGGGTGCTCCGGGCGTCGAGGCAGGCAGGCCTGTCTGTGTCAGAAGTAGGTCGGGCCTGTCCCTCTGCGGGGGGGATAGTCAAAAAGTAGTCAGAACATAGTCTGGGGACTGTTTTTTTTGTTAGGCATCTTTCTGATCATTGTCTGAGTATGTTTCATTTGTCCTCCAAAATCCCCCTGTAGGGGGACAGGCCCGACCTAATGTTAGGATCGGGACCTCGCAAAGGGGGTCGGGCCTGTCCCTCTGCAGGGGGAATAGTCATTATCCCAGTGCGACCCTATCTAGGAGTTGGAACCCCTAGGAAAGCAGCATTAGTAGTAACAGTAACGCTAAGCTAAAGCTAAGCTGAAGCTAAGCTAAAGCTAAGCCACAGCTAAGCTAAAGCTAAGCTAAAGCTAAGCTAAAGTTAAGCTAAAGCTAAGCTAAAGCTGAGCTAAAGCTAAGCTAAAGCTGAGCTAAAGCTAGGCTACAGCTAAGCTAAAGCTAAGCTACAGCTAAGCTACAGCTAAAGCTGAGCTAAAGCTGAGCTAAGCTAAGCTAAAGCTTAGCTAAACGCTAAGCGAAACGCTAAGCTAAGCTAAGCTAAGCTAAGCTAGCTAAGCTAAGCTAGCTAAGCTAAGCTAAAGCTAAAGCTAAAGCTCCCAGGGGACTGGGGGGAACCGCTCCCAGGGGACTGGGGGAACCGCCCGGGGCGCTTTGCATTGCCCGGCCCCTTTAAGCTAAGAGAGTAAGAACCCTTCTAGGCAGAGCCTAGGTAGGGAAAAAAAGTAGTCAGAACATAGTCTGGGGACTGTTTTTTTGAATATTGTTAGGCATCTTTCTGATCATTATCTGAGTATTTTTCATTTTTCCTCCAAAATCCCCCTGTAGGGGGACAGGTCCGACCTAATGTTAGGATCGGAACCTCGCAAAGGGGGTCGGGCCTGTCCCTTTGCAGGGGGAATAGTCATTATCCCAGTGCGACCCTATCTAGGAGTTGGAACCCCTAGGAAAGCAGCATTAGTAGTAACAGTAACGCTAAGCTAAAGCTAAGCTGAAGCTAAGCTAAAGCTAAGCCACAGCTAAGCTAAAGCTAAGCTAAAGCTAAGCTAAAGTTAAGCTAAAGCTAAGCTAAAGCTGAGCTAAAGCTAAAGCTAAAGCTGAGCTAGAGCTAAGCTTAAGCTAAGCTACAGCTAGGCTACAGCTAAGCTAAAGCTAAGCTACAGCTAAGCTACAGCTAAGCTAAACGCTAAGCTAAACGCTAAGCGAACAGCTAAGCGAAACGCTAAGCTAAAGCTAAGCTACAGCTAAGCTAAAGCTAAGCTAAAGCTAAGCTAAAGCTAAAGCTAAAGCTAAAGCTCCCAGGGGACTGGGGGGAACCGCTCCCAGGGGACTGGGGGAACCGCCCGGGGCGCTTTGCATTGCCTGGCCCCTTTAAGCTAAGAGAGTAAGAACCCTTCTAGGCAGAGCCTAGGTAGGGAAAAAAGTAGTCAGAACATAGTCTGGGGACTGTTTCTTGAATATTGTTAGGCATCTTTCTGATCATTGTCTGAGTATTTTTCATTTTTCCTCCAAAATCCCCCTGTAGGGGGACAGGCCCGACCTAATGTTAGGATCGGGACCTCGCAAAGGGGGTCGGGCCTGTCCCTCTGCAGGGGGAATAGTCATTATCCCAGTGCGACCCTACCTAGGAGTTGGAACCCCTAGGAAAGCAGCATTAGTAGTAACAGTAACGCTAAGCTAAAGCTAAGCTGAAGCTAAGCTAAAGCTAAGCCACAGCTAAGCTAAAGCTAAGCTAAAGCTAAGCTAAAGTTAAGCTAAAGCTGAGCTAAAGCTAAGCTAAAGCTGAGCTAGAGCTAAGCTACAGCTAAGCTACAGCTAAGCTAAAGCTAAGCTAAATCTAAGCTACAGCTAAGCTAAAGCTAAGCTAAACGCTAAGCGAAAAGCTAAGCTAAACGCTAAGCGAAACGCTAAGCTAAAGCTAAGCTACAGCTAAGCTTCAGCTAAGCTACAGCTAAGCTAAAGCTAAAGCTCCCAGGGGACTGGGGGGAACCGCTCCCAGGGGACTGGGGGAACCGCCCGGGGCGCTTTGCATTGCCCGGCCCCTTTAAGCTAAGAGAGTAAGAACCCTTCTAGGCAGAGCCTAGGTAGGGAAAAAAGTAGTCAGAACATAGTCTGGGGACTGTTTTTTTGAATAGTGTTAGGCATCTTTCTGATCATTGTCTGAGTATTTTTCATTTGTCCTCCAAAATCCCCCTGTAGGGGGACAGGTCCGACCTAATGTTAGGATCGGAACCTCGCAAAGGGGGTCGGGCCTGTCCCTTTGCAGGGGGAATAGTCATTATCCCAGTGCGACCCTATCTAGGAGTTGGAACCCCTAGGAAAGCAGCATTAGTAGTAACAGTAACGCTAAGCTAAAGCTAAGCTAGCTAAGCTAAAGCTAAGAAGCTAAGCTAAAGCTAAGCCACAGCTAAGCTAAAGCTAAGCTAAAGCTAAGCTAAAGTTAAGCTAAAGCTAAGCTAAAGCTGAGCTAAAGCTAAAGAGCTAAAGCTAAGCTAAAGCTAAGCTACAGCTAAGCTACAGCTAAGCTAAAGCTAAACTAAAGCTGAGCTACAGCTAAGCTACAGCTAAGCTAAAGCTAAGCTAAAGCTAAGCTAAACGCTAAGCGAAACGCTAAGCGAAGCGCTAAGCTAAAGCTAAGCTACAGCTAAGCTACAGCTAAGCTAAAGCTAAAGCTAAAGCTAAAGCTCCCAGGGGACTGGGGGGAACCGCTCCCAGGGGACTCGGGGAACCGCCCGGGGCGCTTTGCATTGCCCGGCCCCTTTAAGCTAAGAGAGTAAGAACCCTTCTAGGCAGAGCCTAGGTAGGGAAAAAAGTAGTCAGAACATAGTCTGGGGACTGTTTTTTTGAATATTGTTAGGCATCTTTCTGATCATTGTCTGAGTATTTTTCATTTGTCCTCCAAAATCCCCCTGTAGGGGGACAGGCCCGACCTAATGTTAGGATCGGGACCTCGCAAAGGGGGTCGGGCCTGTCCCTCTGCAGGGGGGATAGTCATTATCCCAGTGCGACCCTACCTAGGAGTTGGAACCCCTAGGAAAGCAGCATTAGTAGTAACAGTAACGCTAAGCTGAAGCTAAGCTAAAGCTAAGCTGAAGCTAAGCTAAAGCTAAGCCACAGCTAAGCTAAAGCTAAGCTAAAGCTAAGCTAAAGTTAAGCTAAAGCTAAGCTAAAGCTAAGCTAAAGCTGAGCTAAAGCTAGGCTACAGCTAAGCTACAGCTAAGCTAAAGCTAAGCTAAAGCTAAGCTACAGCTAAGCTACAGCTAAGCTAACGCTAAGCTAAACGCTAAGCGAAAAGCTAAGCGAAACGCTAAGCTAAAGCTAAGCTACCGCTAAGCTAAAGCTAAGCTAAAGCTAAAGCTAAAGCTAAAGCTCCCGGGGGACTGGGGGGAACCGCTCCCAGGGGACTGGGGGAACCGCCCGGGGCGCTTTGCATTGCCCGGCCCCTTTAAGCTAAGAGAGTAAGAACCCTTCTAGGCAGAGCCTAGGTAGGGAAAAAAGTAGTCATAACATAGTCTGGTGATTGTTTTTTTGAATATTGTTAGGCATCTTTCTGATCATTGTCTGAGTATTTTTTATTTGTCCTCCAAAATCCCCCTGTAGGGGGACAGGCCCGACCTAATGTTAGGATCGGGACCTCGCAAAGGGGGGGGGGCCACAGGGGGCGGGGCGAGTTCGGTCCGTTGGCGCATCAAACCGCCGAAACACGATGCAAAACGAGGTCTCCAGCCGCCGCCGGAACCCGAGAGGCGTCGACAATCGGGGCGCGCGGGGGGCAGCGTTTTTCGGAAGTTCGAGGCACCAGCGGATCGAACTCACCCCCCCTCAGGGTCCCCCGCCCACCTTTGGTGGACCCCGACAGGAGCATTCCGGGCTCCTCGCGAGGACAATCTGGTTTCACTGCCTCCCAGAGCTCGATTCTCGATTCGGCGTCACCCCCTCTCGCCCATGCTCCCCCTCCCGCGTTCCTCCCTCATCATGGCTCGGGTATGGCCAGGACCCCAGGTAAGGGGACATGGTTAGTGGTAGGGCCTTGGAGCCCCTGAATTGTCCAGAACCACTAAACCAGGTTTGCCATAGCTGATTTTTTTCGGGTGACGGCAGCTCCGGTTAGTGGAATGGGGCGGGGGGGGCGCCCCCCGGTACACATCACTAAACCAGGTCCCACTAAACACGGTTCTGCCAACGCCCGACTTGCTCCCCCTCCCGCGTTCCTCCCTCATCGTGGCTCCTCCTGCGCCCCTCCCGTCCCTGCTGCTCGCCACGGCGCTCGGCCTGGCAGCACCGCGCGCGGCAGACGGCGAGCCACGGCGGAGGACGCGCCGCCTCGTCACCGCCCTGCTGGGCGCAGACGCGAAAGAAGTCAACGCGGCGGCGAAATTGCTCTCGAGGGGCCCAGGGACGCAAATAAATATATATATATATATACACACACGCAAATCCCAGGATCCCCCTATTTTCCCATATTTTCGGGATGTTCGTCTCCCCCCCCCTCACATCCCGGATTTTCCCATCTTTTCCAGGGAATCGACGAGTGTTTGTGTTTGTATGTTCTTGCCCTCCTGATGCCACTCGTGGTTCACAAGCGCGGCAGAGAATCGCGAGATCACAGGTATGCTCTGGGTGGTCATTCTCGTGAGCGTGTCGTCACCCGCTGGCAAGGCAATGTTGCAGCAGGGCAGCGGTAACCACGAGTCCGCTGTTCCTGCTCGCGTTCCTCCTCCATCCTCGCCGTCGTTACCGTCCGAGCCCAGGAGTTGGCCCAGCTGGAGTCCCAGCTCGAGGACGTGAGGGAGGAGGCTCCGAGCGCACTCATCGAGGTCGCCGTCGTCGTCGCCGGTCGTCGTCGTCGTCGTCGTTCGTCGTCGTCGTCGGTCGCTGATGTCGTCGTCAGCAGTTGTCTCCTCGCCATCCCAGGAGGGAGGGGGCTCTGGAGGGAAGGGGACGAGGAGGCGGAGGAGGAGGACGACGACGACGACGAGGGAGGGGGTTCAGGAACAGGGAGGAAGAGGACGAACACGAGTACGGTGAAGACGACACCATCGTCATCCTCATTGCCAAAGTTGAGCGCGCGCGCACTTCCTCATCATCCTCACCAGCACCATCGTCATCACCATTGCCAGCGTTGTCGTTGCCACTGCCGTTATCATCACCATCAGCTTCATCACCACCGTCGTCGTCGACATCGTCCCCACCGTCGTCGTGAACCCCATCGTCGTTGTCATCATTGTGGGTGTCGCCGCCCAGTTGAGTTTTGCTAGCACGTTGCGGGCGGGTGGTCGGGATGTTCGTGGGAGCATTGAGGGTGGTCACGCGTGAATGCGGTCGAATGAAAATGCCCCGTATAGGTTGCACCACATGTAATGCACCGTGTAGATTGTACTACACGGCTCGCAGCACCTAGCTTGCACCACACAGTATAGTGCGCATCCAACATGTTCGCCACGTGCTTAGGTGCCACATTGAGTGCACCGAATTGAGATTGCATCATATATCCAGCTGCCTGCAGCAAGTTCCGCAACCGCGCCAGCGCAACACTCTGTACGAGGCTGCAGGTGGGACACATCTTGTCTGTATTCCTGAAGGGTTCTCCTGAGACCTGCCTTGACCGCTTTGGGACTGTCTTGGGCGTTGTGGGGCAGTGCTGTGCTTTGGAACCGTCTCGGGGCCCTTTTATGGGCCGTGGGACCATCGGCGATATATCGCCGATCGCAACTCGATCCCCCCCTCCCGAGCCAGTCCTCCCCTATCGTTGCCGCTCAGCTGGACGCCCCTGGCGGCGCTCGGCGCGCCAGCGAGGGAGGTCCTCCTCCTCCTCCTCCTCCTCCTCCTCCTCCTCCTCCTCCTCCTCCTCCTCCTCCTCCTCCTCCTCCCCCTCCCCCTCCCCCTCCCCCTCCTCGCAGCTCCAAACACGCCTCGAGGACCTCCCAGAGTCTGCGTTCAGTGGGGACCCATGCCAAGAAACACCCTGCTTGCTTCCAGGGTGCCCGGGGCTTCTTGGGCTTCGGTGGCTGTGCGCTGGAGAGCGCGACGATCCCACGCCAGAAGCCCATGGACATCCCGGGGTCTCCAGGTGGGGGTTCATGTTGAAGGTTGCTTGTGTTCGAGCTCCTACTGTATGCCCCTGCAGGGTGTATTATCTCGGGCGCAGGTTTACAGGGCCTCTGCCATCCCTCAGGGGACGCATGCGGGCGGCACCATTTGGGCCTTGTGGAACTCCCCGTGGGGCCGTCAGTGTGTGAGGGGTGTGCCGACATGTGCGGCGGGGACGCAAGCGGGCGGCATCATTGGCGCCGTGGGTAATATTCCCGATGGGGCCACGAACCGTATGAGGGGTGTACCGACAGTGGAGGCGAGGCCGAACATGCGGGCGGCACCATTTGGGCCTGGAATGGAGCTTCTTTTGCGGCCACGAAACGTGTGAGTCAGTCAAGCTTGGCGCACAGATGGCGCATTGGCAAAATAAAAAGTTATGCGTGTGACCAGAAACACCAGCAATAGCCCCGTGCTCGGACCGGGCAGAGAAATGCGGGCAGTGAGAGCGATACGAATTCACCTGCAAACGTATCGGCGACACGTGTGGGGAGTGGGAGGAGGGGAGGGGGCGAGGAGGAGGGAAAAGCGGCGGAGAGGAGAGGGGTAACAGAAACGCCGCACTTAAAACGAATGTGTAGGCAGAAGGCTAGACACGCAAGGGGGCCACTGCTGTTTAGGCCTTCCCCTGCGTCGCCGGTGCGCCCATCTTCTGGGCAGGTCGGTGCCAGGCTGGCAACTTAAAAGTCTGAAAGGTTCGTCTCCGGGCAACGCTGCAATTTTTTGTACAGCGCCGCTTGGCGCCAGCGAAGTGTTGAGCTCAGTGGGTGTTCCTCCGCTCGCTCCAAAACTTTATTAGACACTGGTGAAGCATATGCGCTTGGAATTCTTAGAACACTTCTTAAACATTGCGTGTGAGAGCTGTCTAAACGGTCTTTATCTACCTGCAGCAGCCAAAGCGTTTCCAAATTATACAGCAGTTTCGGCAAAACGATCGCTTTGCACAACTCTATCTATCTGGCGCGGCTGATGTTCACTTCTGGCCTTGCTATGCATTTGACGTCCAAGAGGCCACCAAGATACATAGTTTGCTCCACCGCTGTCAGTGGGGCACCAGTAGGGCCTAGGGGAGACATCACGCCATCATTGTGAACGCTCATGCATACAGTCTTGCCACAATTCAATTCCAGACCGTACCTCTTGCCTTCGTTGATTACAATGTCGAGTAACGTTTGTAATTTCCCGGATTCGCTGTGGTGTCATCTGCGTAAAGAAGGTCATGGCATACCAAGTATTCTGGCTCCTGGATGTCAACGTGGAGGCCGTCCACGCGCTTGTCGATGTCGAAAAACATCAAGCTTTGCACGATAATGAACAGGTAAGGCGAAAGAGGACAGCCTTGGGCAATTCCTGCTGCTTGTTTCCGCAGACTTGAATTCCCAGCTGGGCCTGTTAGCATGAAATGTCTACATGTGTAAAACGGAGCCACCATGTCCAGCATGTTCAGAGGTAGGCAACATTTACGAAGAGCGTCCAAAAGTGCATCATGTTTTATTCGGTCAAACGCCTTGGACCAGTCCAACAATGCAATCAAACCAGGTGCCCGCGCTGTTTGCGCTGCTTCGAGCATCCGCCGAGCGATGCTGATGGCCTGGGCCGTGCCTCTGCCAGGACGAGATCCGAATTGGCTGGATCGCGTTCTTTTCTCGGCGCCTCCATTTTGAATACGTTTTTGCAGCATCCAAGCAAAGAGCTTATACCCAATCGTCAATGAAGAAATCGGCTTGTAGTTCTCTGGCAAGCTAGCTATTTTTAAGTGCGAGGATTGGTGTATGCCATTCATGAGGGATATATTTATCGTCCCAGCACCTCTGAGGGCTGTGCCGAAATGGGTGGCCGGGACGCATGCGGACGAGACCATTTTGGCTGTGGGTAAAGCTCCTTATTGGGCCGCGAAACATGTGAGGAGTGTGCCGAACTGAGTGGCGGGGACGCATGCGGGCGGCACCATGTGGGCCTTGGGTGGAGCTGCCTCTGTGGCCACGACACGTGTGAGGGGTATGCCGACATTGGTGGCGGGACGGAACATGCGGGCGGCACCATATAGGCCTGGGGTGGAGCTCCATATAAGGCCACGAAACGTGCGAGAGGGTGCCGACATGGGCGGTGGGGGCGCATGCGGACGGCACCGCGTGGGGCCTTGGGTGGAGCTCCCTATGGGGCCATGAAGCGTGTGAGGGGTGTGCCGAAACCAGTGGCCGGGACGCGTGCGGGCGGCATCATTTGGGCCTTGGGTGGGGCTCGCCATGTGGCGATGAAGCCTCTGAGGGGTGTGCCGACATGGGTGGCAAGGGACGCATGCGGGCGGGAACAGATGGGCTTTGGGTGGAGCTCCCGATGGGGCCACGAAGCGTGTGAGGGGTGTCCCGAAATCGGTGGCGGGGGCGCATGCAGGCGGCACCATTGGCGCACTGGGTGGAATTCCCGATGGGGCCACGAAACGTGTGAAGGGTGTACCGACAGGGCTGGCGGGGCGGAGCGTGCGGGCGGCATCATGTGGGCCTTGGGTGGAGCTCCCTGTGTCGCCACGAAACGTGTGAGGGTGTACCGAAATGAGTGGCGGGGACGCATGCGGGCGGCACCACGACACGTGTGCGGGGTATACCGACATGGGTGGCAGGGACGCATGCGGGCGGCACACGTGGGGCTTTGGGTGGAGCTCCTTGTGTGGCCACGAAACGTGTGAGGGGAGGGCCGAAATGAGTGGCGGGGACGCATGCGGGCGGCAAGGCGTGGGGCCTTGGGTGGAGTTCCCCTTGGGGCCAAGAAGGATGTAAGGGGTGTACCGACATGTGTGGCGGAGTCGCATGCGGACGGCACAATTTGGGCTTTGGGTAAAAGCCCCCATGGGGCCACGAAGCGTGTGAGGGGTGCGCCGAAATGGGTGGCGGGGACTCATGCGGCCGGCATCATTTGGGCTCTGGGTAAAGCACCTTTGGGGGCCACGAAGCATGTGAGGGGTGTCCCGAATCGGGTGCGGGGACGCATGCGAAGACCGCCACTGGGGCCTTCGATGGAGCTCTCTCTGCGGTGCCACGAAACGTGTGAGGGGTGTACCGAATCGGGTGCGGGGACGCATGCGAGCACCGCCTCTGGGGCCTTGGGTGGAGCTCCCTAAGGGGCCACGAAACGTCTGAGGGGTGCGCCGAAATGAATGACTGGTGCGATGGGCAGAGGCAGGGATGTGAGGAGGGATGGGGGATGAGAGGCAGGGGGAGGAGAGGAAGAGGAGAGGAGAGGAGAGGAGAGAAGAGGAGAGGAGAGGAGAGGAGACGAGACGAGACGAGAGGAGGAGAGGAGAGGAGAGGAGAGGAGAGGAGAGGAGAGGAGAGGAGAGCGAGACGCGGGGCGCTGCCCCTTTCAAACGAGGACCCAACACCACAGGATCCCTGGGAAGTGAGACGCCAGGATCCCCGGGCCGGCAGTCCCCCGGTGGGCCTGAGCCGGCCCCCCGAGCAGTCCCGGGCGGCCTCCACGCGTCGCAGAGCCTGTTTTTCGCCTTCTCGTCGGGCGGAGGGGTCGGGTGTCGATGGAGGGCTCCTGGTCGCGCACAGACAGCCGCCCCCCCCCCCCGGGTCAAAGGAGGGAAAAAACACATAAACATAAACTTTTGGCGCTCCGCGCGGATTTCTTGGATCCGCGCCTGGGCTCCCCGGCGGCACCTCCGGCGCCGCCCCTGGCGCGCTCCGCGCGCCAGGGAGGGGGGTC